GCAGGAGGGAGTGCTTGACGGGTCAGTGGATGGGGTCTCTACATCCGGTGTATGTCCCTGTGTTTCCACAGACGGAGGGATGTCCTTCTGAGGGGGTGTGGGGCTAGCGCTAGACAGACAGTTGTCAGGGGGCTGGTTGTAACTCAGGAAGTGTTGGTTTGGCTGTTGCTTTTGCTGAGACTGTGGCTGCAGTATTTCCTGCGGTGGTAAACTGTGCGGTTGCTGCTGCTGCTGGTGCATTTGTTGCCGTTGCTCCTGTTGTACTTGCTGCTTGTAGTACTGCTGCTGCAGCTGCTGCTGCAGTTGGATCTGATGCTGTTGCATTTGGTGCTGGAGTTGTTGCTGCAACTGGTGCTGCTGTTGTTGATGATGATGCTGCTGCTGATGTAGCTGTTGTTGCTGCTTCTGCTGTTGTTGATGTTGTTGCTGCACTTGGTGCTGCTGTTGCATCTGAAGCTGCATCAGTTGGTGTGGTTGTTGGGTTTTGGGCTGCTCGTTGTAGCTCAGGTTGGGAATGGCCTTGGTGCCCCCCTGGACCACCTGGTAGTACCCAGACGGAAGGTGCTGTTTGGTGGGTCCGAACGCCAGCTGGAAGGGCTGCAACAAGGACCCTGGTGGCATGGAGGGGTGAGAGGAGGGGGCATGGGGGGGCTGAGCTTGGAGATCTACACCCTTATGGCCCTGCTGGAAGGCCTGGAGCTGGGCTTGACGCATGGCGCCTGCCGCACCATGCTGACCCCACTCTAAGCCCCTAGCCTGGACCTGGGCTTGAGCTTGGGCTGCCTCCCTGTAAACCTCCATGGATCCTGGAGCCTGCTTCTCTGCTGGCCCCATTTGCAGAGCAGCTCCTCCATCGTGGCTCCCCTTGGGGAAAGCCATCTGGCCCCTAACATTGTTCAAGCCACCCATATACGGGCTAAAGTTCTGCCCCCATGGATTGGTTGGCAGGGGCCCAGGAGCATCCTGAGACCAGCCAGCGGCTTGGATGGGGTCCTGGTGCATCCATTTGACAGGGGCAGTCTGCTGGTAGTGTGCCCGACTTTGGGGCCCCTTCTCTGGGTTGAAGACCCCAGAGCCGTGGCCTCGAGACTCCCCGACCCCGTGAGCAGACTCCAGAGCTGGGGGGCCCATACACCCATAGAAGACATCCCCGGCGTGCTGCACTGTGGGCTCCTTCATGGCAGCTGCAGCCCGATGTTTGCCCCCACTCTTATCAGGGATCACTTTCTGCTGGGGAGGAAGACTCATACTATAATCATCAAGCTAAAAAAAAAACGACAACAGCGGGGGAAAAAGTTGAGGTCCTTTATATATATCCCCAGTCACTTGAGTGAAAAACAGGGACAAGGCCAAGTGTTTCTGCCTACACTGCCTCGGTCTGGGACCGTTGTGGCCTGCTTCGTTTAATAGCGAGAACAGAGGGACTCTGGAGGAAACATAAGTCCTACAGGAAAGGGTAGAGGGTGGAGACCACACACACCTCCTCCCTCAAGTCAGATCTGAAGAAGTTTGCTGCTGTTAGGGGTCCCGGCAGACCTGGATCCCCTTGTGTCCCTCATTCATGTGTGGGACCCTGAAAGACAGAGGGTGAGAAAAACGACTGGTAAAATATTTGTGAATTAAGTTTTCAACAAGCTTGTGTGCAGGACAGGCCTGTTTGATTGGCTCGGAGGAAGGAACTAGGCTAATTATATTGAAAGTAAAATACGTTTCAGAGAGCACGCACTGTACAAGTATTGTGCAAGCAAAGTATTAATAATGCTGAAATATTTCCAAATCCAATTACCGTAATGACATCACAGACACAAAAGTAGTCGTGTCGGCCCATTGTTTACAGATCATATATATGTTGGTTTCGACTGTGATAGCAGGCTGCAACAGTTGAGGCGTGGACTGTACAGAATTGCCATTTGACACAACGAGAAATACAGGAAGCGAGGGAAAACAAGTTGAGTCGCTTTCCACCCCCCTCGCGGAGCCCCCAGTCCCCAGACAATTGCATGCACATTTCAGGCAACCTTTTGTGTTGTAGTAAAGTCTTGTTGCCACACTGTTGCCTTCGCAGATTAGATACAGTAACAATCTGCGCATGAATTTATCTGCAATAAATGTGGCCATTAAAATCACATCGTGGCTTCTTTAAAAAGTAAAACTAAACCTACAAAACACAAATTGCATACTGCCATGGGATTGTGTTTACAATTGCAACTTCTCCATGTTTTGCGATCATGTTGATCGACACGTGATATGCCATTAATTAAATTAATTGACACTTACCGTTTCGATATCATTTTATGTATATGACGGCGAGTTCTGCGGAGCCAATTTCCTCTGGGCCAAAGTCGAATGCATGCAGCTCCATGACCGGATCGTGCGCAACAGATAACATATACTTCGAGTTCGACTACTTTTCTTCAAGCCAAAGAGTAAACAATTTGCATCGAAACAATTCAAACAAGGGATTTGGGATGTTTGTTGTTCAAACCTAAATCCAGGTAAGTACAATGTCTACAATATTGCACACAGTGAATTAATAACACACTTTCAGGAAAACATGTCCAGCAACTTTCTCCCCGCATCGAGTGTGTAGGTACATAAACCCCTGATCCCGTTGGGTATGATCACAATGTGACTTACATTTGGTTATTTGCGTATTTTGAATAGATCTTTCTGTCATATGCATTGGTTCTATTGTATTCACTGATACGATCAGTCTACACAGAGTATTTATAAATCTAGGAAGCTGCGCAAACGCATTGACGTTCTGAGCCCATGAATGCTCCGCCTCACCCTTCAACCGCTCATCTGACGTATGCTATCCAATCCGATTGTCTGACCACGCCTATGTCCATATCCTTATAAGGTTGTCCCACTGCTTGTGGCATCGTCCAGTAAATTGCAGCACACCCTGGCAATGAGGGGATTCGATTAATCTGGCCTGGGCGCCCGGATAGGCGTGTTTTGCACAGGGAGAAATTGATTTTGCATTCGTTTTGGAACCGGCTGCCTCCCGGGTGTGAGCCAGATGCCCCGTTCAAAGCCCACGGCGAAGTCGGCTCCAAACAAAAGTGACGTAATTAAGCATGAAGTAATGAGTAGGATTCTGTGTTTTCACATGCAAAAGTGATTGAGTTCGATAAAAACGCTTTATCTGCCTTCCCAATGAAAACTAGTTCAACAAACATATATTTATTGAAAAGAGATGTATGTTTCTGAAAGATGCACCATGCTGCTTTGTTGACAACGTGACCGAGCAGCGCAGAATACTGTTCGATTTGAGATGGGCGCTCCTCCCTCACCGCTTTTGCCGATCTCGTCATAGGCCATGGACCGGTACCCCGCAGCTCAGCATAATCGGTTCCGCCCAGTGCTTCTGAAGGGGGATTTCCGTCAGCAAGGGGGCTCCCAAAGGGGTCACATGTTGAAGGGTGCATGCACGGCCAAATCCGTAAGTACCTAATTTGGGTAGTACAGTGGTGTGGCAGACAATGTCATATTTTGGATATGTGGATAGATATCAAAATGCATCATTTGAATTCCCAAAGTAATCTATTGTAGCATTTTATAGCACAACTATCATAGAATGCCATTTTGGTTTAATGGGCTGTCTGAACTGTCATTTGTTCAATGCCAGTGCCCTGTCATTGTCAATCAGATTCAGGTGTCAATGACTCTGCATTGACTCTGCGTTGCTGTCCTGAGGATGCCACTTTTTTTGCGCATAGTACTGTACTCTCACAACCTCATCACATTCACAGCATGTGCCAGGAAACTCTGTTGATTCTAATAATGCTGTGACAGTGACACCCCTAGCCCGGCAGCGGAGATAAACAGAGCATCCTCTTCTCACAGAGAGAACTCTGCAAAGATTCTGAGGGACAAAGATGCAGAGGGATGATCAATCAATGGATACAAGGGGGAGTGCTTGTCGGTGACGTAACGGATGCTGTTGGGTGAATGAGCGGAGGAGAAACCTTCTCCCCAGTTCGTTATGTGCACAATAAAATGTTTTAAGAGTTGAAGGCAGCACTCACAGCAATGGATATGGAGAAATGTCAGTTAACTGCCTGCATTTAAAATAGTAGCTACATGCTTCGAAATGGTGCAATCAAACAAGGTAGGTTAAGATGTAACAAGTTAGGATGAAACAGCCGCATGTGCATCTGCCTTGCTAGCTAGGCTACCTAACGTTAAATAGCATGCTAGCTATTTTGCTAGGTAGTTAAATAGCTTATTCCAGAGATAAGAAGAAAACATTTGCTGGTACCAGATCACTAGCTTGGGTTACCCATATTTATTATTACCCTAGCTACAAAATGTCGGATAGTTAGGTATGTAGCGTTAGCTAGCTATCTAGAAAGATAGCTAAGCTAGCATTGGTTTGTTGATAGCTAGCTAACGCTGCCAGGCAGTAGATGCAGAGCCAGAGGGTGGCGCTTTATTGAAGCAAAGCAAGGTAAGGTCGTCCTGGTGCAGGCTAGCAAATTTGATCAATGCCAGTTAACTGTTCCCTTTCTCCCTCTATTGCAAGACATTAGACCTAACTTTAGCTAGCGAGCCAACCAGCTTGCCAGATAATATCAAATCAAATTCTTATTGACAGAGTTTGTCAAAATGTGCTGAGTATGAGTCTTAAATTCTTAAAACCACCTAGTGCAGTAAATGACTTGGCTAAATGAGATTTGAAAGTAGCTAGCTAGCATGCAATAGAGGTTGTATATTCTGCTGATGGGGCTATTGATATGTTCAGTGTTGATTCAGTTTGATAGAAACAATCATTGTTAAAGCTGTGGGTATAAACAAATAGATTCAAATGTTCCAATATATCCTTTACATTAGTTTGTTGGTGAAGAAAATGAAAGGACAGTGACAGCACGCAAATGATGACATCTCTCTGAGGACACATGTAGATGGAGGTAGTCAAGGTCTCCAATACTTTTGCATGATTTGTCAGATAAAACATCTAATTGTCTTCGTCCTTTCCCCCTTACTGCAGTAAGAAGCCAGCGACACTGATGCCAGGGTCAAACCGTCGTTGGGAGCACTCAAGATGAGTTGCGTTGTAGAGCAGGCGGCAGACATCCTGTCAGTGACAGACCTGGTCCGGGAGAGATGGAGGGTGGTGAGTGACTTAAATACTACCGGCTGCAGAAAGGGCACAGCTAGCTTCGGTCAAATCTGTCTTGTTGCTGCGCCCATTCTCATAGCCAGACTGCAGCAGAGATATTTTCAAGGAAGCTTTCTCTAATGTGTTCATTAATTCAACATTTCTTTAGAATATCATGTTCAACTTTGGATATGGACTACCGGTATGAAATGTTGTGTGTGTGTGTGTGTACCTTTTTTATTTCTGTAGGTACAGTACGGGACTTTTCACACAGGACACTCACATTTTCACTCTCTCTCTCTCCTCCCTCCACCTCTCTCGTTTCTTTCTTTACTACCTGAATTCTACGTTCTCCTCCATTCCATTTGCAGGTGAAGAAGATTGGCGGGGGAGGCTTCGGGGAGATCTACGAGGTACTGGATCAACTGAGCCTGGTCAACGTGGCACTGAAGGTGGAATCTGCACGGCAGCCCAAACAGGTGCTGAAGATGGAGGTGGCTGTGCTGAAGAAGCTCCAGGGTGAGAGACAAGGGCCCTGTTGGAATACAGTAGGACCTCAGAGATACAAATAAGTCTAAAATGGACGTAGTTCGTAAAACACTGAAATGTCCATAACTTGGAATTTCATTCAAAAACCCGCATCAAACCTTTATGGAAAATATTGATTGCATATTTACATTAATCATTTAGGCAGATACTGTACATATCTGGTGTGTTTTAGGGCATGTAAGCAACATTTATGTTTCTCTGTTTCAGGTAAAGATCACGTGTGTCGCTTTGTGGGCTGTGGTCGTAATGACCGCTTCAACTATGTGGTGATGGAGCTTCAGGTAGGGTGTGTGTGCGTACCTGCCCTTTGAAATATTTGAATCCTTTTGATTGTAATGTGATTCGTGGATTCAAATAAAGTATTTGAAATGTTCAAATAAAGTATTTGAAATGTGTGTGTAAAAGCATGATTGAGTAGCTCAGCCTTGGGTGACCATGACAATGTCCCATACCCCACACCACAAACATTACCTTACTGTATCCTATAGGGGAGGAATCTGGCAGACCTGCGCAGAACTATGTCTCGCGGCACCTTCACCGTCTCCACCACTCTGAGGCTGGGCCGGCAGATGTTGGAGGCCATCGAGAGCATCCACTCTGTGGGCTTCCTGCACCGGGACATCAAACCGGTAAGAGGTCATGGGATCATGGCGAGGGAACAATGTGGGGGTGATGCATCAGGAGTGAGGGAACAAAATGAGAGCATAAAGGAGTTCCTGGTAACGCCTGAACTTAAAGCGTTAATGCAGGTATATCGCATTATTATGCAGTTAAAATGTATTGAACGCCTTGTCATAAGCGTGTATGACCCCCCCTTATAATGTCTAATGGTCATCTCATAATGATCCTGACTAAATCCCAGCCATTTTTATTTAGTAGGAACATTTAATAATACATAATAATAATACATAATACTTATTGTAAGCCTTATTATAAAACAACAAGTTATAAAGCATTATACCAGGCTCTGTAGTAAAGTGTTACCGGGTTTACCTGGAGATGATTGGTAAGGACGAGACGGAGTAGCACTGACCGATGTTACCTGTGTTTTTTTACTGCTCCAGTCAAACTTTGCCATGGGGCGCCTGGCCAGCACGTGCCGCTGCTGCTACATGCTTGACTTTGGTCTGGCCCGGCAGTTCACCAACTCTTGTCAGGAAGTGCGCCCTGTAAGTATTCGTGTCACGACTCAGGATGAGACACTGGAGGCGGACACTTTGAATTATTATACAACAGGGGGGCAAACGGCAGGTCAAGGTCAGGCAGAGGTCAGTAATCCAAGGCAGAGTCAATCAGGGACAGAACAGCAGACAGGGTCGGGGTCAGGCTCAGGGTCGGCAGAAAACAAAACTAGGGAAAACAAGCTGGAACAACCTGACAAGACGAACTGGCAACAGACACAGAAAACGCAGGTATAAATACACAGGAGATAATGGGGACAAATAGGAGACACCTGGTGGGGGGTTGGAGACAAGCACAAGACAGGTGAAACCGATCAGGGTATGACAACTCCTGCCTGTGTGTGTACGTGCGTGTATGTATTCGGTCTCAGCTTCATTTGTGAAATTCTCTGGCTACATTCCAATGTCCACTTATAATGAAGCAATATATTGGGCATGCATTCTAAATAGTATGCTAGTGTAAATAAATAAATAGCTTCAATCTAATTTCTTATCGCTCTTTCTTTTTTTCTCCTTTCTTTCTTTCTCAGCCTCGTCCTGTGGCAGGGTTCAGGGGAACAGTGCGCTATGCCTCAGTCAATGCACACAAGAATAAGGTGAGTCTCTCCCCCTCTCCTTTACTTGTGGTAAACCTTATACTATATATACAGTACCAATAAAAAGTTTGGACACACCTACTCATTCAAGGGTTTTTCTTTATTTTTTACTATTTTCTACATTGTAGAATAATAGTGACGACATCAAAACTATGAAATAACACATATGGAATCATGTAGTAACAAAAAAAAGTGTTAAACAAATCCAAATATATTTGAGATTCTTCAAATAGCCACCCTTTGCCTGTGGATGTATTTCAAGGCTTACCTTCACTCAGTGCCTCTTTGCTTGACATCATGGGGAAAATCAAAAGAAATCAGCCAAGACCTCAGAAAAAAGATTGTAGACCTCCACAAGTCTGGTTCATCCTTGGGAGCAATTTCCAAACGCCTGAAGGTACCACGTTCATCTGTACAAAGAATAGTACGCAAGTATAAACACCATGGGACCACGCAGCCATCATACCGCTCAGGAAGGAGACGCGTTCTGTCTCCTAGAGATGAACATACTTTGGTGCGAAAAGTGCAAATCAATCCCAGAACAACAGCAAAGGACCTTGTGAAGATGCTGGAGGAAACAGGTACAAAAGTATCTATAGGACATAACCTGAAAGGCCGCTCAGCAAGGAAGATGCCACTGCTCCAAAACCACCATAAAAAAGCCAGACTACTGTTTGCCACTGCACATGCGGACAAATATTGTACTTTTTGGAGAAATGTCCTGTTGTCTGATGAAACAAAAATAAATCTGTTTGGCCATAATGACCATCGTTATGTTTAGAGGAAAAATGGGGACGCTTGCAAGCCGAAGAACACCATCCCAACCGTGAAGCACGGGGGTGGCAGCATCATGCTGTGGGGGTGCTTTGCTGCAGGAGGGACTGGTGCACTTCACAAAATAGATGGCATCATGAGGAAATAAAATTATGTGGATATATTGAAGCAACATCTCAAGACATCAGTCAGGAAGTTAAAGCTTGTTCGCAAATGGGTCTTCCAAATGGACAATGACCCCAAGCATTCTTCCAAAGTTGTGGCAAAATGGCTTAAGGACAACAAAGTCAAGGTATTGGAGTGGCCATCACAAAGCCCTGACCTCAATCCTATAGAACATTTGTGGGCAGAACTGAAAAAGCGGGTGTGAACAAGGAGGCCTACAAACCTGACTCAGCTACACCAGCTCTGTCAGGAGGAATGGGCCAAAATTCACCCAACTTATTGTGGGAAAGCTTGTGGAAGGCTACCCGACATGTTTGACCGAAGTTAAACAATTTAAAGCCAATTCTACCAAATACTAATTGAGTGTATGTAAATTCTGACCCACTGGGGATGTGATTAAATAAATAAAAGCTGAAATAAATCATTCTCTCTACTATTATTCTGACATTTCACATTCTTAAAATAAAGTGGTGATCCTAACTGACCTAAGACAGGGAATTTTTACTAGGATTACATTTCAGGAATTGTGAAAAACTTGAGTTTAAATGTATTTGGCTAAGGTGTACAGTCGTGGTCAAAAGTTTTGAGAATGACACAAGTATTTGTCTTCACAAAGTTCGCTGCTTCAGTGTTATGAGAGATTTTTGTCAGATGTTACTATGGTATACTGAAGTATAATTACAAGCATTCCATAAGTGTCAAAGGCTTTTATTGACAATTACATAAAGTTTATGCAAAGAGTCAATATTTGCAGTGTTGACCCTTCTTTTTCAAGACCTCTGCATTCCGCCCTGGCATGCTGTCAATTAACTTCTGGGCCACATCCTGACTAATGGCAGCCCATTCTTGCATAATCAATGCTTGGAGTTTGTCAGAATTTGAGGGGTTTTGTTTGTCCACCCGCCTCTTGAGGATCGACCACAAGTTCTCAATTGGAAAAATGTTTTGTTCCCCGAGCCACAGTTATCACTTTTGCCTTATGGCAAAGTGCTCCATCATGCTGGAAAAGGCATTGGTCGTCACCAAACTGTTCTTGGATGGTTGGGAGAAGTTGCTCTCGGAGGATGTGTTGGTAACATTCTTTATTCATGGCTGTATTTTTAGGCAAAATTGTGAGTGAGCCCACTCCCTTGGCTGAGAAGCAACCCCACACATGAATGGTCTCAGGATGCTTTACTGTTGGCATGACACAGGACTGATGGTAGCGCTCACCTTTTCTTCTCCGGACAAGGTGTTTTCCGGATGCCCCAAAACAATCGGAAAGGGGATTCATCAGAGAAAATGACTTTACCCCAGTCCTCAGCAGTCCAATCCCTGTACCTTTTGCAGAATATCAGTCTGTCCCTGATGTTTTTCCTGGAGAGAAGTGGCTTCTTTCCTGCCCTTCTTGACACCAGGCCATCCTCCAAAGGTCTTCGCCTCACTGTGCGTGCAGATGCACTCACACCTGCCTGCTGCCATTCCTGAGCAAGCTCTGCACTGGTGGTGCCCCGATCCCGCAGCTGAATCAACTTTAGGAGATGGTCCTGGCGCTTGCTGGACTTTCTTGGGCGCCCTGATGCCTTCTTCACAACAATTGAACCTCTCTCCTTGAAGTTCTTGATGATCCGGTAAATGGTTTATTTAGGTGCAATCTTACTAGCAGCAATATCCTTGCCTGTGAAGCCCTTTTTGTGCAAAGCAATGATGACGGCACGTGTTTCCTTGCAGGTAACCATGGTTAACAGAGGAAGAACAATGATTTCAAGCCCCACCCTCCTTTTAAAGCTTCCAGTCTGTTATTCTAACTCAATCAGCATGACAGAGTGATCTCCAGCCTTGTCCTCGTCAACACTCTCACTTGTGTTAACGAGAGAATCACTGACATGATGTCAGCTGGTCCTTTTGTGGCAGGGCTGAAATGCAGTGGAAATGTTTTTTGGGGATTAAGTTCATTTTCATGGCAAAGAGGGACTTTGCAATTAATTGCAATTCATCTGATCACTCTTCATGACATTCTGGAGTATATGCAAATTGCCATCATCAAAACTGAGGCAGCAGACTTTGTGAAAATTAGTATTTGTGTCATTCTCAAAACTTTTGACCACGACTGTGTGTAAACTTCCGACTTCAACTGTATGTATGTATGTATGTATGTATGTATGTATGTATGTATAGCTGTATGACTACATGTTCTCACCTTGCTCACCCATGATGTGCGTGTCTGGGGTCTGCAGGAGATGGGTCGCCATGACGACCTCTGGTCTCTCTTCTACATGCTGGTAGAGTTCATGGTGGGCCAGCTACCATGGAGGAAGGTCAAAGACAAAGTAAGTGTGTGTGTGTTCGTGCATGTGTGTATGTGTGTGTGTACGTGCGTGTGTGTTCATGCTCTTTTCCCTCTACTCACAGGAACAGGTGGGGAACCTAAAGGAGGCCTACGACCATCACCTCATGCTCAAACATCTCCCCTCAGAGTTCAGCGTCTTCCTGGATCATATTCTGACCCTGGACTACTACACTAAGCCTGACTATCAGGTATATAGCTTTCCATATGTGCTCGTTACCTCATAAATATCCAGTAAATATCCAGTCTTCCTCAAACTAGAATTTGAATTTTAGTTTGCTTCCTGATTTGACTGATTTTGAATGGAATTGAACCCAACCCCTGTGCCCATGTGTCTCTGTCTGCCAACAATAGAAATTCTTCCCATTGTCTCGTAATGCTAAATGTCAATGTTTTGGGTTCTGTTCCAGCTACTAATATCAGTGTTTGAGAATGCCATGAAGAGCCACAGTGTGTTGGAGAACGACCTGTATGACTGGGAGAGGTGTGACTCGGAGGATATGCTTACCATCACCGCCTCCGCCACCACAGCTCAGCAATTCACCCGACTCACACCAGCTTACATGGGGTAAGAACTGCAATAATGGTGGACTTATTGTTTTTAAAAAGTAGGGGAGAGGTAGAACGGTGTGGTATCAGAAGTTGGGTAACTTTCCCAGAATTCCTGTTTATTGCATCCCCATTCCAGGAATCTTTCAACCTGGATTTCTGGAAAACCTGGACATTTTGGGAAAGTTCCCGAAATTTTGCAACTCAAATCCAAAGTACCGTATTTTCCGCACTATAAGGCGCACCGGAGTATAAGCCGCAGCAGCTAAATTGAATGATATTGAATGATGTGTACATATATAAGCCGCACTGGACTATAAGCCGCAGGTGTTTTAATGTTTAATTACCATATGTAAGGGTTTGTGCACAGAGGGGATTGTCGGGAAAGAGATGGCTGCTTGAGGAAGCTCCCATTTATTAACATTTCAACAAACAAGTTGCATATTTGCATAACGTATTCCAGCAAAATTAGTTAATAGCGTCACAATCATTTAACCACTTAACTTTGGTTATTTTTGAAAAACCTTGAAAAAGTGTGCTCATCTTTGAATATTTATCTACATTATAGCCTACAGTAGTACCATAACAAAAAACTAAGCTTACAGCGCTTGACGAGGCAATATCAATGGCTAAATTAAATTTGTTTTTTTTAAAGTGCAAAATAAAGTGCCTGTAACACGACAGTAAGCGCGTAAACCTAAAGTTGCAGCAACACGGCTGCTTAAAATATACGGTAATCAGCCTACCAGAAAAGTCATTAATCCTCGTCTTCATCTTTTAGGCTAAGGTGCAGTACACGGCTGTAACCAGAAAAGTCAAGTCATTAATCCTCATCTCCGTCTTCTTCCTGCGTACTAAAACCACCAAAGTCCTCATCTTCAGTGTCGGAAACGAACAGGCTCAGGGTGGCTTCGTCAGCCACTCTCCTCTCTCCTTCGTTGACGCTCTCAAAACCAACGAACTCCTCTTCGTCACTGTCGGAATCGAACAGACTCTGAAGGGCCTCAGCTGTGGCGGCGTCCTCCTCTTCATCACGCAGCAGTCCAGCCTTTCGGAACCCGTTAATGATCGTGGATGTTTTGACACTCCTCCACGCTATCAGGATCCACTCGCAAACTTGAGCGAAAGTTGCTTTTCGCATGCGACCAGTTTTGGTGAATGATTTATCGCCGCTAGTCATCCACGCCTCCCACTGAAAGCGTAGTGCCACTTTGAACGCACGATTGACACTGATGTCGAGTGGCTGCAGATGCTTCGTTGTGCCCCCAGGAATCACAGCTGGAATCGAGTTTGTGCTCTTGATGGCTGCTTTCACATAATCCGTTATATGGGCCCTCATGCTGTCCAAAACGAGCAAAGCTTTTTTTTGGCGAAAGAATCCTCCAGGGCGCTTGACGTAGCACTCATTCAGCCACTCATTCATTACGCTTTCCATCATCCACCCTTTCTTGTTGACTTTAAAGGAGATGCCGTTCAGGATCTTTTCTTTTGGCATTGTAATCCGCTTAAAAATCACCATTGGCGGAAGCTTTAATCCAGATGCTGTGCAGCCAAGAACACAAGTGAAATTCGTTCTCTCGTGGCCAGTGGTTCTCAACGTGATGGACGATTCACCTTTCTTGTTAACAGTCCTAGTGAGAGGCAGGTCAAACGTCAAAGGCACTTCATCCATATTTATGATCTGGTCCGGTCCGATGGAATATTCCTCTATCATTCTTTGTGTGAATTCGCCGAAGTTTGTTATTTTTTCCTGGTAGTCGGGAGGGAGTTGCTGACACACAGTCGTCCGCGCCCTGATGGAGAGTCCCTTTCGTCTCATAAATCTGAAACACCAGGATGGTCCACCTCTAAAATTTTCAATTTTCATTTCGGTGGCGACTGTTTCAGCTTTCAGTCGGATCTGCACGGTGGAAACACCTCGGCCGTCTGCTCTCTGTGTGTTCACCCAATCTTCAAGAAAGTCTTCAAGTTCGGGCCATCTGCTTTTATTACCTCTGAAAGCTTTTTTTGACTTTTTGCATTGAGACAGTTCTTCCCGCTGGCGTCTCCAACGTCTCACCATTGACTCATTGATGCCAAGGCTACGTGCAGCAGCTCTATTTCCTTCTTTTACAGCCAGATTGACTGCCTTTAACTTAAAAGCTGCATCATATGCATTTCTACGTTTGTTTTCCATAATGAGGGTTTGTGCATGAAAACTTCCTTTGCACAAACTGTCTCGCTCTCGTAATGTCTGTCTGTCTTGCTCTCGTTCTGTCTCTCGTACCACTCTCGGTTCCACTTTTACTTTTGCGCGCTACCTGTCTCACTCTTTTCCGGCCTCCAGCTTTTCCTGCTGGAGCCCGCCGCTTAAAGGTGGGGGGCGCGGACCGGTCATAGAGCACATAGAGTTAAAGTTGGTGGACTGTAACCTGTAAAATCCATAGATTTAGGAGGTCTTCTAGTGGCCGTTAGCTGTAAAAATCCATAGATTAGCCGCACCGTTATATAAGCCGCAGGGGTCGAAAAATGGGAAAAAAGGCGCGGCATATAGTCCGAAAATTACGGTAGTAACTGTTCTATTCTAAAATGCAGAAATGTACTTTGTCTGGCTTCGTGTTGATTGGTGTGATGCAGAATATTTGTGTGAATGCTTGTAATTGATGCCTCATTGGTCAGCATTTGCTGATTGGACTGTAATATCTTCCTTCAAGTCGACGGCGTCCAACTTTTGTCCCACTCATGCAAGTCAACCCATGGGTTGTTTTTATATTCCAAGCTTTTTGGGGGGAAGGGGAAACCTGCATAGTCAGTCAGCGATCCCTTGGAAACCACCGGCCTAATTTGTACTCAGGAAAGTAGCAGCTAAATGACCTTTCTTTCTCTTTCTCTATCTCTCCCTCCCTTTCTCACTCCCTCCCTGCCTCCCTCTCTCCCTCCCTTTCTCACTCCCTCCCTGCCTCCCTCTCTCTCTCCTGTCTCTTACTCTTCTCACCTTTCTCACTCCCTCCCTGCCTCCCTCTCTCTCTTGTCTTTCTCTATCTCTCCCTCCCTCTCTCTCTCCTCCCTCCCTCTCTCTCTCCTGCCTCCCTTTCTCTCTTATCTATCTCCCTCTCTCCTCTCGTCCTTCTCTCTCTCCCCCCAGCATGGCCAACGCCTCGGTGCTCCCCGGCGAGCTGCAGAGGGAGAACACTGAGGACGTACTGCAGGGCGAGCGCCTCAGCGACGCCGACAACTGCCCCCCCATCCCGGCCCAGCACCAACGCGCTGCCCAGGGTGCCGACGTGTGGGAGGAGTTGGACCGCAACCGCAAACACGCCGCAGCCCAGCAACATCAAAAACAGCTCATCAGGAAGGTCCGGATTGGAACACATACATATTTCATTTTTTTGTGATTTCTTAAAATGTATTGACCATAAAAATAAATACTGGGATGGAGACAGAGGAACACACTGTCATGCTATGAAAGAAACACCCCTGTTAGTTTCCCTTTTACTGCTGCAGTTCAGCTAACCTTGTCTACGTCACCAGGAGCATTTTCTATGTTTCTATACTGTTCTTAGTCCAGCTGCAACTGCAGGGATGGATATTAACAATGTACACAACACTACTGAGACCCAATTATGTTATGGACTTCATTGCATTACTTAAACTTGGGACCCAGCGATATGACCTGACCATAGACAGCAACAGCAATCAAATGTATTACTAAGGGAGAAGCAAGAGGCTGAACAAGTTTAGCCTCTTACCTCATCCTCTCTTTGTGTGTGTAAGAAGTCACCTGGCTTTGTTAACGTCATTGTGGAATCTACCTTTAAAATAGTATTTCCTACTCCCAACACCTTTTTTGTGACACAGCTAAATTCCAACCCCTTCTCCAGGTGGTGAGTGAGGACGAGCACAGCCAGAACCAGGGGGGTAACCAGAGCCCCAACACAGGCTCCGTCCAGAGCTCCCCCAGACGGGTGCGCTCAGAGACCATGTTCCTGGACCGGGCAGCCCCCCTGCTCCGGAGGATGAGACACAGCCAGAGCCTGGCCTTTGAGAAGAGACTGGCCCCCGAACCCAAGCCCACCATCGAACGCTTCCTTGAGGCCTAGTCAGTTCCTTTTACCATTCTGCTACAGTAGTTTAATAGTTTATATTGTGCTACAGTATGCACTAGGACAGTGGTTCTCAAACCTCCTCTCGGGGACCGTTAGACATTTCACAGTTTGGTTTTAACCCTGAACTACCACACCTGATTCACCAGTCAAGGGCATGATGATGTAAAATCAGTGTTCTAGCTCTGGAAGAGATCAACTTCATGGAACTGTTGAGGGTCCCTGAGGACAGATTAGAGAACCACTGCACTAGGACGAGGCAGGCACAAGGCAGAGTGATATGTTTTAACAAATTAAGAGTTGTTAGACTTTTGTTTCACCCAAGCTCTTATTTTGTTGGACTGTTCATTGGCAAGTTAGGCAGATTTTATGTTGCTATTTTCTATCTCATTTCCATTAGTCAACTTTAAAGATGAATTGAACGATTACTCAAATGCCAATTCCCAAATGCCTATATTTCCAGTCTGGGGAAGCAGCGTCCACAGGAGCGAGAGAAGACCATCCCCGAGAGCGGTGGGGGGCAGGGGGAGCAGGTTGGCACCCCCTGTGACGAGGACCAGGCGACAGGGACTCCCGGCGGAGTGGGGACCCCTGACCAGGACCAGGAGGATGGGGCTGGGGCCAGCAGTGGAGGCTTTGTGGCCCTCAACCTTAGCCCCGTGCCCCAGGAGGGAGACTCCCAGGAGTGGGTGATGCTGGAGCTGGAGCAGGGCGGAGGCAGCGGGGCCTCTGGGGCAGCCAAGCCTCCAGGAGATGACGCTCTGGATGGGGATAAACCAGGGGCCCAAGCAGAGGCCGAGGCCCAGGACCAACAGCCTCCCTCAGCCCCGATCAGTCCCGTCCAGTCCCACATGGCCCTGCCCTGTACCTGGTTACTGGGCGGCAAGAGGCTGCCTGGGATGCTAGGCCACATGGGCCGAGCTCAGATGGAGCAGGTGAGTGAGAGTTTGGCGGAAGAACTGCTCACACATATACTCCATGCATACATACAGTTCTATTACTTTTTCAAAATGTCTTGGTGCAGCATTTCTTAAATATGACCCTGACGGTGCATTTACATCCACTTTGAAGGAAATGTTGTTTACTTCAGCAGGTAATTTTTTGAATGCTAAGAACTGTACACACCCACACACACACAAAAACAGAGAAATCTGTACTTCTCTCTACTTGTGCCTCCTCACTCCATCTCCCAATAACCTCTGTCTCTATTTACAGTCCCCCAACCCCGTGCCACAGTCCCCCGTGACAGAGAAGAGTGAAGCCATACCACTAGAGGCCCCGTTCACCAGACCCACCGACCTCCAAGAGGGCAAGGTTGGCGAGATGGTCCAGTCAGCCCCCAGCCCTGTGCCAAGCCTCATCCCAGCCCACCTCGCAAACGATAAAGACCCAGAGAGCGACTCTGGTCTCCCCGACCGTTCCTCTGAACCCAACCAGCGCCCCCAGGTGGAGAAAGCTAGAGGCGCCGCGGAGAGTGCCGGCACTGTCTCCTCCTCACCCCCACCGGTCCTCCTACGAAGGGACTCCCCCTCCTCGTCCAGACTGAGCCGCATCCCCGTACGAGACCCAACCACTGCCCCGGATTCCCCCACTCCCTTCACCATGGACCACCGTCACCGCTGGAGCAGCCCTGTGCCCGGCTCGCCCTCCCACTCGCCCTCGCCATCCCTCTCCTGCGACAACCTGCTGCCCTGTGGCGTCCGGGAGCGGCTCCTGTCCTGCTCAGACCGCGGCTCACGCTCCGACTGGCTTGGGGAGGACCGCGACTCCCTCTCGCTCTCCTCCTCAGGCAGCAGGAGTAAGATCCCGCGTCCCGTCAACCCCCCTCCTCTGGGGCCCGAGCAGCAGCAGCAGCAGCTCTCCTCCTCCGGCAGGTTCCTGCCTCGCCCGCCTCCCGGGAAACCGCCCACACGCCTGGCTGTAGACAACAGGTATGAAAAACATGGCGTGATGGCACAGCATTGGGCCACATTCAGTAGGGCAAGCATTATGGCACGTTGCATATAGAAATGTGATGAATACCGCTGGTGTAATTTCTCATTGGACAGTCTCTATTCTTCAGTCTGTCTGCTCTACATTATATAGCCGTGTCTGAATGTTCCACAACGTTGTGCCCTGCCGAACGCAACCCAGGTAGGCTGTAATAGTAAGGGTTGCAGTTTAAAAAAACCTTACCTTACCCCTTCTGTTCTCTGCCCCAGTAGGCACCGGCGGTTCCGGGTGCGCGCCAGCAGCACCAGCGATGCTGACTTCCTGGCCAGCCTGACCCAGCTGATGAAGGACCGCGGCGGCGCACTCTTCAGTCCCCCGCCACGCCCCCGCAGCTCCTCCTCCTTGCTGCAGCGCTCACTCAGCTCCTCCCCCTCCCGTCACGAGCTCCGCGAGGGGTGCGGGGTCTTCCTGGGGCGCAGCTGCTCTCCGTCCAGCTTCTCGGGGTCCCCTCCCCCTCCGCGGTACCCCCAGGACAGGCTCAGCGGGCAGCAGGGAATACCGTGGGGTGCAGGGCCCGGTGCCAGAGGGAGGGCCTTCAGCCACGAGGGCAAAGGCAGCGGCAAAGTGAGCCGATAAGTGGACAGAATGGAAAAAAGTTTTTTGTTCAGAAGCAGGATAAATGTTGTCCTGGAGGCAGAGCTGAGCGATTTCCACTAGATAGGCCAGCTGCAAAGTCAAAATTGGCTATATATTATAACAATTAGCTTTTTTGGGGGGTGTTGGTCTTAATATATAATGTTAGGTTTAAAATGATATTTTATGACTTTGTGGCTGTGTCAGCTAGTGACTACTCTGCAGAGCTGCCTCCAGTACATGAGTCATCCCAATAAATGGCAACCTGCTGTTCAGAAGGGCACACTGTAGTAAAAAGTTTTGCAACGGTAAACAGAAATTAGCGTTTCTCATTGGACACGTTCATGAGGTACCTCTCCATTTCACTGAGATTCAAAACGTTTCCTCCCCACTGCACACGACCCAGGCTGCAATGGTGACTAAGACTGTAATAATGTATGTACAGAGAATATACTGTATCTGGTCTTTGATAGCATGTGTAAATATATATTATCTACTACTGTACTCCAGGGAATGTAAAATGTATGATAGAATGTATCTATTTATTTGTTGGATGCGTCTCGAACAAAGTACTTGACAAATGTAGCTCGATTCCTCAGTCGAAAAGACAAAGGTTTCCTAAAAAAAACCTGTTCTCTCCCCGACCCTAGTCCTGTGCTCTTAACACTATTTATGTATGTATGTATGCCATGAGACCAAAAAGATCTGTATTGTATCATATTTGAGGAATGGAAAGGAGGTCTCCTTGTATGTATGGACCATTAGAAAAACCTAGTATAGAGAGCACTTTAGTGCTGTTCAATCAAAATACATTTTCGTCTTATTGCACCAACACATCAGCCTTCATTTGTGAAGACCAGGGTATTTAAACTTCATTCCTCCTTTCCCTCAGAAACGACTAGATGAAACAAAATGTAATTCAAGCTATTTAAAAGAAATGTCACTCACTCTGGCATATTTACAATGTATTTGTATGCTTTTGTTGTGAGAATCTCCTAATCACTCGTACCGGATTAATGTAACAAGTGCATGGATATCATTGCAAATACATTTTTTGTTTTTATTGTTTTTTAATCATTTGTACAGTGTCCGCTAAAACAAATCAGTATTTTTTAATAAACTGGTCCCAATGAAGTAGTATTTTTATTTACCCCCCTGCAGAATAATGTATCATCATTTCAGGATTGCAGAAAATCTAATCTAGTACACATTTGTCGTTTAGTGAACTATACTGAACAAAAATCTAAACGCAACATGCAACAATTTCAAAGATTTTACTGAGTTACAGTTCATATAAGGAAATCAGTAAATTGAAATAAATCCATTAGGCCTTAATCTATGGATTTCATGACTGGGAATACAGCTCTGCATCTGTTGGTCACAGATACCTTTAAAAAAAAAGGTAGTGGCGTATCTGGTGTGACCACCATTTGCCTCATGCAGCGCAACACATCTCATTCTCAGAGTTGATCAGGCTGTTGATGGTGGAATGTTGTCCCACTCCTCTTCAATGGCTGTGCGAAGTTGCTGGATATTGGTGGGAACTGGAACACGCTCAATGGTTGACATGTCTGGTGAGTATGCAGGCCATGGAAGAACTGGGACATTTTCAGCTTCCATGAATTGTGTGCAGATCCTTGCGACATGGGGCCGTGCATTATCATGCTGAAACATGAGGTGATGGCGTGGCACGACAATGGGCCTCAGGATCTCGTCACGGTATCTCTGTGCATTCAAATTGCCATCAATAAAATGCAATTGTGTTCATTGTCCGTAGCTTATGCCTGCCCGTACCATAACCCCACCGCCACCATGGGGCACTCTGTTCACAACGTTGACATCAGCAAACCGCTTGCCCACACAACGCCATACACGTGGTCTGCCTTGTGAGGCCAGTTGGATGTACTGCCAAATTCTCTAAAATGGCATTGGAGGCAGCTTATGGTAGAGAAATTAACATTACATTCTCTGGCAACAGCTCTGGTGGACATTCCTGCAGTCAGCATGCCAATTGCATGCTCCCTCAGAACTTGAGACATATGTGGCATTGTGTTGTGTGACAAAACTGCACATTTTAGAGTGGCCTTTTATTGTCCCCAGCACAAGGTGCACCTGTGTAATGATCGTGCTGTTTAATCAGCTTCTTGATATGTCACATCGGTCAGGTGGATGGATTATCTTGGCAAAGGAGAAATGCTCACTAACAGGGATGTAAAGAAATGTGTGCAAAAAAATTTAGAGAAATAAGCCTTTTGTGCGTATGGAAAATGTCTGGGATCTTTTATTTAATCCCATGAAACATGTGACCAACACTTTACGTTTATATTTTTGTTCAGTATATATGAAATAATAAATGCTCTAAGTAGTAGGCTACCTACACGTTATCTTTATTATGTTACGATTCAACCAACAAATGTTTTATTTTACGTTTTAACCAACAAATGCGTACAAAGTGTGTGCAGATCCATTACACCCCCCCACATACAAACATTTGTTTCACTTAATATTTATATTTAAAAAACAATACTGTGAAAGCTATTTAAACACTCATGTGATCTGTAACTGTTATTTCTCCTTAACAGCAGTCTGTCTAGATCTAACTAGGGTTCCAAGCCCTAAAACATGTATTTGTCTGGAAACCTATGCACTAGCCAGAAAGAACCCCTAGCCCCCAACCTAGGCCCTATACAGAAACAACCACTAGTCCCTAATCTAGGCCCTGTCCAGAAACAACCCCTAGCCTACAACCTAGGCCCTGTTCAGAAACAACACTTAGCCCCAAAACCTTCAATAAACTTCATGTAGATCTGTAGGTATATGTGATATGGTAGTAGCTCCTTCTTGCGCTCTGATAGGCCAAGATGAATCTGATAGTGCTTATGGGGTAGGGGCTTGGGGTTGTTACTGAGTGAACTAGACCCTACAATCCAATTCTAGCTAAATTGGACGGTATATACCTCTGTGGTCAATGATGAGTAGCATGTTCTATACTATGTGGTCTTTGCTTACCCTTACTGCTGATGATAAGTCTATGTTAAAGAAGACTGGTATTATTTCTTCAATGTGCTGAATTTAGGACTTGCCATCTTAGACAAGTTCTGTGTTCTATAAGTGAAATGTTATGTCTGGGCAGAGCCATATAGAGATGCATGGCTATATGGCCCTGGGTTTGAGATGTGGTATGTGTTCTAGAATACCTGCTCTATTTTCTAGAATGCTAATAGTCTATCTCTTTCATGGGACTTCTGGTCCATGTTGAGCTAGCAGTTCTTGATTGTTTACATCTGGTCATCTCAGTCTGTTATTGTACTCTTGATTTCTAGAAGAGAGGGGCGGTTTGCCTGGGATCATCTGGCAGCACACTGATGGAGTCTTCCGCCTTCCCACACAGCATGCACAACATTGTGTACTCCTGGAGTGGACAGAGGACCATGACGTTACCGTCAGGAGAGAAATCACAGGGAATAGTCAATACAGTTATGAGGTATTTACCATTGTGACACCCACCTTGGACCAATATCATTTTTTATAATTTCACATAATGGTATGGAAGTCTTCAACCCTTTTCACACCATTGTGCTGACCCGAACCTTACTGTGCTGGCTCAGATATATTCTCTATTATTACATAGTTTTTTCCAGCACAGTTAGTTCTGGCAACTATGGTTGATGTGTAACCAGGCCAGCACAGTACAGCTCGGCTTGGCTCAGTAGTGTAAACAGGGTATTATCGCACTGTTATTCAGTGAGTATTTAACCTTCAAAAGAGACGTCTTTACCTGATAATCGTCCACTACAGAGAAGGTATACTCATGCCTGGCTACGACGTGGTCACAGGTTTTACACACATCTGCCAGGTAGTAAAGAAAGACCACTTGTAAGATGAAAGTCAACTCTAGCACAGCCACACCTTTCTCAGGACCATGTTCATTAGCCACAAAACAGAAGAAAACTGAGATATGCTAACTGAAATTGTCCAATAAGAAATGCTTGTTTTTGTTTGCTGTTGCAAAAACTTTTGACCCAAATCATCACTGGAACAACATTAACTCACGATCATAGGTGACTATCTCCTCTCCATCCTCATCCTCTGTGGCCTTGTTGCTGATCAACACAAAGTCTCTCTGGTGACAGTTGGCACAGCCCAGGTAGTTCATCAAGTAGGAGCCATTCTCCAAACAGGTGTTCCCCTGACAACCAGAGATGAGGGTATTTTACAGTTGACAAACAATTATGTATGAAATATTTGTATTTATTTATTGAACCTTTATTTAACTAGGCAAGTCAGTTACCTAATGACAGTATTCTATATTCCATATCAGGTTTGACAGAAAGAAGATCCTCTTCAAAGTTACATTTATAAAAGCAGTTATCATAAAATACAGAGTTATATACTAGATGACTACTACTGCAAATATGTTTACACTAGATTCTCAGTTTTGGTCTGATTTTTAAAACATACTCACCCTGTCAGGGTACTCTTTCAGCACACAACCATTACACATTTTGCTACTCTTCAAAAAGCCAGCAATAGACACAGTAAAAACGGTTAGTATCTCTAACTATATACCGTGATTCGTTTTCTCACGATAGTAAATTATTATCTTTCAATTCTCAACAAAAAACGTTTTCTTCATTGAAGCTACTTCCGCAATGACAGGCTATCCTAAACTTCCGGGTATAGGTCGGGAGGATGCATCTGATTGGCTCCTCTGGCCAACTATGACGACGTAGATCTGCAGCGGTCGGGGTTTTGTGGACCACAAGCATGGCGACAAAATTGGCCATGTGAGATTTGCTGAATACAATAATATACAAAAATAACTATAGGAGGTAAGTATGGTTTGTCCACTGCAATGTATGTATCTACACAATTCATAAACTAATATGTATGTGGTCCTGGTATCTTGAGAATGTTTTGAAAACGTGTTTGCCATATTTTGCAAACGTAGCTAGCTAGCCAGCCAACATATAACGTAGCTAGCTAAACCTTGACAGACAGACAGTAGTAATACAATTCAAAAAAAAGCTAGCTAGCTAACAATATAATGCATTTATTTATCTGCCTGTTTTTAAATGAATGTGTTTGTAAGTAAGTGTGTATTGGATAGGTTCATTGTCATGAGTGACATAACACACCATCACACAGACACTCAAATATTATCTTGTTGGCTCTATGTGGTAAGAAATGGCAGGGTAGGCAGTGATTCATAACTCCAAAGACGAGGCAAATTTTACATGGTAAAAAGCCTTGTCTTTGGAGTTTTAAATCATAACAAGGTAGTTAGCTAGCTAAATAGCTAATGACAGTTGCAAACCTGTCTTCAAAATTTGCTGCATATCATTTTCCCTTTCCAGAGATGACCCCAACTAAGAAGACCCCAACCTCCAACGTGAAGGTGGAGGTGACTTGCTATTGCATACTATGCCGCAAGGTCTACCTGAAAAAAGTAAGATCAGTCTTGTTATCATTATTAGTTTAGCCATATTTCCCAGAACAGAGCACATTTCAACTGGATCTCTTGTAAAGTTTTGCTGTGTTGTTAGACAATATTTTATAGACCGATAACCAAAAATAATTGTCCATACAAAATATTGGCTACTAAGTCCATATAGATACTGTGATTTGGTTTAGTGATTCCAGGCTGAAGCCAATGGCATGCTGTTGATTGCCTTTTTTCACAAGTTTCATGTCTTGAGAGATGTTATTCAGCTTGAGAGATGTTATTCACCTATCCTACAGGACGTGCACGAGCACATGCAGAGCATGCTACACCACCGAGAGCTTGAGAATGTGAAGGGCAGGTGAGCTACAATTCCTGGCCCTACATGTCTTTTGTGAACTGAATAACCTATCTTAATGCAGACATATCTTAATAATTATTCTAATATTCCTATGAGAAATGATGCTTTCAAGTGTAAAGACTTTGTGGGGGTTAGTACCACACACCATCTAGGCTCAATTTCTAGACCTAATATTAAGTTGATATGCATGAGCAGTTTTCATTGTAATATAAATAGTTGTTCCTGTTGTGAGAACATGTATGCACTCAGGGCACCATTGGGAATGAAACCCTGGTCTCAATTGGGCTGCCCTGAATAAATAAAAGTTAATAAATAAATAATCACGAATAGAGAAGTATCCATTATGAGGACTACATAAATAAACATTATCAGGACTAGAGAAATGTGCATTATCGGGACTAGAGAAATGTGCATTATCGGGACTAGAGAAATATGCATGATCAGAACTAGAGAAATATGCATGATCCGGACTAGAGAAATATGCATGATCCGGGCTAGAGAGATATGCATGATCAGGACTAGAGAAATATGCATTATCAGGACTAGAGAAATATGCCACCTCTTCCCCAGGAACTGTAGGCACTGGTGCAAAGTCTGCAAAGTGTCCTCGAAGAGTCTGACAGAGTACGCCGAGCACATCTCCACCCAGTCGCACGGAGACAAGATGAAGAACCCGCCACGGAGCACTAAGCCCATGTCTGTGGAACAAGACCTCGACGCAGACCTGCTCTCCAAGGTCAGGGAAAGGAACAAAGAACTGCAGAAGATGGAGTGAGTTCCAAGTTGCTTACTTTGTTTTTTCATTTTAGAGGAGACCTGAAAGTACTTTTTAAAATGTTCATTGTTGTGCCAGTTGAGAAAATTATTACAGCTTCCTTGATATAAAGCAGCTACATGCACTACATTGACACATGCGATTCTAGAGTTTGCTTAGCAAAGAAGCCTGTCTTTTGGGGATGTGCATCTTTCCCTTTCAAGACGATTCCATATGTACAGTGAGGGAAAAAAGTATTTGATCCCCTGCTGATTTTGTACGTTTGCCCACTGACAAAGAAATGATCAGTCTATAATTTTAATGGTAGGTTTATTTGAACAGTGAGAGACAGAATAACAACAACAAAATCCAGAAAACCGCATTTCAAAAATGTTATAAATTGATTTGCATTTTAATGAGGGAAATAAGTATTTCACCCCCTCTCAATCAGAAAGATTTCTGGCTCCCAGGTGTCTTTTATACAGGTAACGAGCTGAGATTAGGAGCACACTCTTAAAGGGAGTGCTCCTAATCTCAGCTTGTTACCTGTATAAAAGACACCTGTCCACAGAAGCAATCAATCAATCAGATTCCAAACTCTCCACCATGGCCAAGACCAAAGAGCTCTCCAAGGATGTCAGGGTCAAGATTGTAGACCTACACAAGGCTGGAATGGGCTACAAGACCATCGCCAAGCAGCTTGGTGAGAAGGTGACAAAAGTTGGTGCGATTATTCGCAAATGGAAGAAACACAAAATAACTGTCAACCTCCCTCGGCCTGGGGCTCCATGCAAGATCTTACCTCGTGGAGTTGCAATGATCATGAGAACGGTGAGGAATCAGCCCAGAACTACACGGGAGGATCTTGTCAATGATCTCAAGGCAGCTGGGACCATAGTCACCAAGAAAACAATTGGTAACACACTACGCCGTGAAGGACTGAAATCCTGCAGCGCCCGCAAGATCCCCCTGCTCAAGAAAGCACATATACAGGGCCGTCTGAAGTTTGCCAATGAACATCTGAATGATGAGTGGCGCAGTGGTCTAAGGCACTGCATCGCAGTGCTAGCTGTGCCACTAGAGATCCTGGTTCGAATCCAGGCTCTGTCGTAGCCGGCCGCGACCGGGAGACCCATGGGGCGACGCACAATTGGCCCAGCGTCGTCCAGGGTAGGGGAGGGAATGGCCGGCAGGGATGTAGCTCAGTTGGTAGAGCATGGCGTTTGCAACGCCAGGGTTGTGGGTTCGATTCCCACGGGGGGCCGGTATGAAAAAAATAAAATAATGTATGCACTAACTGTAAGTCGCTCTGGATAAGAGCGTCTGCTAAATGACTAAAATGTAAAATGTAAATGAAAACTGGGTGGAAGTGTTGTGGTCAGATGAGACCAAAATCGAGCTCTTTGGCATCAACTCAACTCGCTGGGTTTGGAGGAGGAATGCTGCCTATGACCCCAAGAACACCATCCCCACCGTCAAACATGGAGGTGGAAACATTATGCTTTGGGAGTGTTTTTCTCCTAAGGGGACAGGACAACTTCACAGCATCAAAGGGACGATGGACGTGGCCATGTACCGTCAAATTTTGGGTGAGAACCTCCTTCCCTCAGCCAGGGCATTGAAAATGGGTTGTGGATGGGTATTCCAGCATGACAATGACCCAAAAACACACGGCCAAGGCAACAAAGGAGTGGCTCAAGAAGAAGCACATTAAGGTCCTGGAGTGGCCTAGCCAGTCTCCAGACCTTAATCCCATAGAAATTCTGTGGAGGGAGCTGAATGTTCGAGTTGCCAAACATCAGCCTCAAAACCTTAATGACTTGGAGAAGATCTGCAAAGAGGAGTGGGACATAATCCCTCCTGAGATGTGTGCAAACCTGGTGGCCAACTACAAGAAACGTCTGACCTCTGTGATTGCCAACAAGGGTTTCGCCACCAATTACTAAGTCATGTTTTGCAGAGGGATCAAATACTTATTTCCCTCATTAAAATGCAAATCAATTTCTAACATTTTTGACATGCGTTTTTCTGGATTTTTTTGTTGTTATTCTGTCTCTCACTGTTCAAATAAACCTACCATTAAAATTATAAACTGATCATGTCTTTGTCAGTGGGCAAACGTACAAAATCAGCAAGGGATCAAATACGTTTTTTCCCTCACTGTATCTAGATACATGGGATAAGGTACAGGAACGATACTTTTTAGTTGAAAATGATTCGGTTTGATGACAGGAACGAATCGATGCGATTTGATAGGATTACGATTCGATGCAACATTTGTTGCATAAACACATTCATTTTCCATTCTAAATGCAAATCTGCTGCTGATAGAGCGCATGAGCTGGTCCTCTCTGAGCTTGTGTGTTAGGGATTTGACTAGAGATGCAAATTTCGGTCAATTTTGTTGCCAACTAGTGTCACATCTGGAGGAAACCTGGCACCATCCCTACGGTGAAGCATGGTGGTGGCAGCATCATGCTGTAGGGATGTTTTTCAGCGGCAGGGACTGGGAGACTAGTCAGGATCGAGGGAAAGATGTCTAAACATTTTTGCTTTGTCATTATGGGGTATTGTGTGTAAATTGATGAGGAGAAAAATACTATTTAATCAATTTTAGAATAAGGCTGTAACGTAACAAAATGTGGAAAATGTCAAGGGGTCTGAATACTTTCCGAATGCACTGTATGGCAAAGCACCCAGCTATTAAACCGAGAGCTCACCTGTTACCCACTTAAGAATATATAGCACTACTTTGGATTTCATTGCCGTCTCATAATCGAATGGTTTAGACCGTTTGGGAGTTTTGACAGACTCGGCTTGAGCTTTTCTTCTTCTCCTGCTTGGACCATGAAGTGCGGGTAGCAAAGGTGCAATGTTGGGGAGTAGTGAACTACATGTAGTTCAACTAGTAATTTAACTACATTTTGCAGTAGGTAGTGTTTTCAGTAGTTAATTACTTTTTAGCCATGTAGCGGTGTAGCTAATAGGGTTGGGCAGTATCCAGATGTTCATATCATCATACCGTCCTTCTCTCATTTAGGATATATGGTATTACCAGTGTAGTACACAAGGGGGCGCCAAAAGACGAAAAAGTCCATTGGGCGTCTATTACC